GGAGCAGGGTGTGTGGGGTGGGAGGTGACTGGCTCTGCAGGGCAGAAGCAGCAACCCTCACAGTGTCTCAATGCAAATTTCCTAGAGTTCCAGAGCCAGTGTCTTACCATGATGGATTGTAACCATTTCAATCACTCGTTTTCATCACTGGACCGATTGCTCAGGAGAATTCAGAGCGTATAGGGATGTTTTAAATGTGGAGCTAGTTCTCAGTGATGCCCAAACCTGCACTGCCACCGCACTGCCACAGCTCTGCACTAAGCGTCACCACCCCGAGCTCCACTCAGTACAGGGGTCTTCTACAGACCACCTACCGGCCATCAGCACTGCAGCACGTATTTACAACTGCATTTTCCTCCAAGGGTAGAGAAAATACTGGTTTCTGAAACAGTTGACAGGTTAGGTGTGGTCCCAGCCTAACTGCAGTTTGCCCAGGACTAGCCTACAGTTAATGCCTTAGTAGGCTTGACTCAGATAAGGAGATGGTCACTGGGGCCAGAGGTTACTTACTGCTCACAGCGAAGGGCAGAGCAGCGAGAAGGGCCACGATCTGAAGAGGAGGTGAAGGTTCTCGCTGCCCCCGTGCAGGCAGAGGGCTGGAGCTGCCAGCGGGACGGGGTTCCACACACGCGGTGGGGGCCCTCCCTAAGATTGTGCACCTGGCACAGGGAGGCAGACATCCGCATGACTGTCCACCAGGCCCTGAGTAAGGCTTATAAGCCCCAGATGAAAAGGCTCGGGTGACACATGTGCTCATGGGTGACCAATCCTCCCGCCAAGGAAAAAATCGGAGAGCTGAAAAGCCAGGGGACATGCACCTCCAACCAAACCGCACCACTCCCCGAGGGCTCCCTCTGTCACTCAGCCCACAGCAACCTCAAACTCCCGGGCTTAAGCGTTCTCCTGCCTCCGCCTCCTGAGTAGCTGGGACTATAGGTATGTGCCCCATACCCAGATGATATTTTTAGGAGAGACGGGGATCTTCCTCTTGCTTAGGCTGGTCTCGAATGATCCTCCCTCCTCGGCCTCCCAGGTGCTGGCACTGAGTTTCTTGTCCACTCTGAGACTGTGTGCATTTCACCTGCCTCCTTACATAGTCTACTCCTCTCAGTTTCCTGGCCCCCACACCTCCCCAGTCCCCCCATTCCCAGTCCTACCATCCTCCACTGAGTTACAAGGACTTCTGTAATTTGGTCAGAACCAGTGATGCGCCAGTCAGTTATTGCCTACTTTTCATAAGGAAACTAACTTTTCAGTTCTCTCCTAGGGGGGCTCCCTTTGAGTGCTAGCTCTTGAGTCCTACTGCCCCAGGACTGCCCTCACCTGTCCCCAGGAATCCCAGCCCTGGGGGGAGGGCCAGAGGCCGCAGGTCCTTGGGCAAACAAGGTGAATGTGAATCACTGCGGGTGGCTGACCTTGCCCTTGTTATCTGTCCCCATGGTCACAGCTAGTCTCAGCCTGGGAAACAGCCCCTCATAGGCTGCAGCACCACGTCACTCCCTGGTACGCAGCCTGCGTCATCTCCTTGAAGCACATGTGACCAGTCGCAGGAGTGACCTTCTGCTTTTGTCTCCAGAGGCCTCATTCCAAAGCGCTGTTTCTTCTCAGACTCACCCTCTACGCCGGCTCCTGGAGAAGGCTTCTGAGGGCCTTGCCAAGGGGGCTGCTCCTTCCTCTGGGCTCCCAGGCACTCTGGGCTCTCCCAAGTTGTGGTTCTTGTCACGGGAGACTAGAATGACCAGTTTGTGCTTCTGCCACCACCACCCTACTTGCTCTGGACTGTCGGCTTCTCCCAGGCAGGTGCCTTTTCTACGTGTCACCAGAGCCTGACTCAGCCCTGTGCTCCTAGCAGACGCTCAGAAAATCGATGAAGGGAAAAGGGAAGAGAAGTGGCTTTTTATTACATTGAGCAAACAGGCAGGATGATACAACGAGGTGTTGACCCAGTAAGACAGCAACAGTGCTTCAAATCTGAACATGCTAGTGGTGAAGTAAATGCTTTTATTCTTTCCATAGGACAGATTTCCAAACGATCACAGTGTTTAGATTAAAAAGATGTTGGATAGATGAGTAGCCAAAGAATGTTGTAACAAAATCTCACCAATGATATACCAAATGTAGATTCAAGAGAATGTGTTTGTATTCTAAAAATAAGACATTACAGTAACCAAGTCCATAAAACTAGGGGAAAAAAAGCACAGCATAACAAAAGGCCTTTTTAAGCTACTAAATACGCGTGTTATAGACAAACCCATTTTATATCTGAAGCAGCTTATAGCACCAACACATTGGCAGGACTAGCAGAGGGCTGGGGTCACTGGACCGAAGCATGGAGTGAGGACGGGACAGGACCTCAGCCACCACCTGCTCCCAGCCAGCTCCTTGTTTTACAAATGGAGAAATGAAGGCCCAAAGAGATGACGTCCCTTGTCCAAAGTCGCACGGCACAGAATCGACTAGGAAACGACAGAGCACTCACATCCAGGCCACTTCAGCCCGTGCTCGGTGCAGGTGGATACACTGTTCCATTTGGTGCATTTTTTCCTATTAACAGGTCTACCATAAAATAAATCACTGCAACCCATAACAGGTACACATACCATCTGGTATGAGAAATGGAGTGTATTGTACTTCTTGGACCTATATATCTCTTAAATCAAAAGTCAGTAATCTGGGCGGCGCCTGTGGCCCAAAGGAATAGGGCGCCAGCCCCAAATACAGGAGGTGACGGGTTCAAACCCAGCCCCAGCCAAAAACTGCAAAAAAAAAAAAAAAAACCAAAGTCAGTAATCTGTCAGATGACACTACCTGTAGATTGGTTGAGAATGTGGCATTTGAAGAGATTTTGCACATCCTTCACGATTTAAGATAAACTATGCTTCAAAATCACTGGTATAAAGTTTTGGTTTCTTCTTGACGGATTAAGAGATTAAACAATCCAGACAGGGAAAGGTAAATCAGATCTTTCCTTTAAAAGGTAAGTAATCTGGCAATTTTTATTTTAATAATTTAAAAACCTTTTCTTTAAGAGAAAAAATAGCTGCAATCCATAGCTTGTGAACCACCTAGTATATAAAATATTTTCCTATTAAAAAATGTGTTTCTGTAAAATATTTTGTAGTCATGAAAACTTGCCGTGATCCTGTGGCCTGGATAGATTTATGAAGTATCAAAATGAAAACAGAAAAGATCGCTGCTAACAGAAGCAGCATTAAAGACAAAGTAGACTGAACATATTTAAACAGTTCCTGGAAATGAAGCCCAGGAGTTGCCTGTACGCACGAGAGTCACTGCAGTGGTAGGTGGGAACGCACACTGGGGATTTATCGTGGTAAACCAGCTGCTGCAGACACAAACTGTGGCTTCGCAACTAGAATATAGCCTGATAAATAACCTGACTTTTTCTTCCATAGATGCCTAGTTATAAGTAAATCAATATTTAGCTACAGTTTTTCTTCTCTTGGATCTAGCATCTTTTTTTTTTTGGCTGGGGCTGGGTTTGAACCCGCCACCTCCGGCATATGGAGCCAGTGTCCAACCCTTTGAGCCATAGGCACGGCCCTCCAGCACCCTTTTTCAAATGAACATGGCCTATACCTGGTGAGGAAGTTACACAGTATTTATATGTATAACCTTTATCATATCTGACCCCAGAAAATAAAATTTCTTGGAACCTCAAGTCCACTTCTCACCACTACAAGCAAATTAACATATGGCAAAACATATTTACTATTAGGTTAAAGAGCATGTTTTAGTACTAAATAAACTACGTTTACTATCAAATAACATGGAGATAACAGCATAATAAAATTTCATCAAAACCTTTTGTAATAAGCTGTAGTATAAATGTTTAAAGAAACATAATAATCAGTGAAAAAACTAGTGTTTTGAAACTATCCGTAGAAAAATATAAAGAATGCCTCATTAGGTGAAGCAATAAAAGTAAAATTCTTAGTGTACATACCAAATTTTACCCTTTGAAAGGGAAAACCTTTACCTTTCCCAAAATAGGTACCTATCGTGTATTTGAAACCCAGGCACAGTGCAGAGCCGAGCTGAGGACATAGGGCAAGGGCAGTGCCCTGATTTTTCGCATGGCCTTGGAAAGTGAGGGCCAATCACCACAGTGAGGAGACAGACTCGGAGGAACCTGAACGCTGCCATGAGCAGTTTGAAGACAGTGCTGCGTCTGTTCACCCTCAGCAGCGGACGGACCACTCAAAGTCCAGATATCAGATCCTAAAGGGGCTTGAGCCACAGGGCAGATGGCATAAAATCTAGGGAAGCCATTGTAAATAATTCCTTCTTGGGTTAAACCCTTTACTTTTAGGGAAGTGAAGAGGATTAAAATATTAAAAGCTTTGTATATGGTTTTAGCCCTAAATAAGAATTTTAAAGTAGGACCTTCTTCCTTTCTGATAAAGTTAAGATAATCCTCTTGGCCACAGGATATTCCTTCTTTGAGGATCCCCTACTGGGAACTCCAAGGCTGTGAGGGATATATTCATTCCCTGGGGAAAATCAAGGAGCGGGATACCTAGGGGCTGGATGCCTTGGGCCCCAAGCAGGGCACCACAGAATCTGCGCCTCTCCCCAGGCAACCACGCCTGTCTGAGCACAAGACAGGGATGAAGCTGCAGACCCTTGAGAAGACGGAGAGTCCTGATACCCTTAGACTTTCCGTCTGTTTACCTTCCCAGGTTCTCCACCCACCTGAGGCTGGGGAGGGCAATGTTACTGTCTCTGCAGAGGGATGTTCTAACAGGAGGAAAGACAGAAGGCAGAGAGAGGGAGAGTGCCTGACCACAGGTTCCTGCTCCTCACGCAGCTCCTGTTACTTCACCTCATTCCAATCATCTGTCCCTAACCCAGTAGGGAACATGAGCCTGGGGGCGGAGTCGCAAGGGATCCTCCCAACAGTCTCCTCCCCTTCCCTTGATTCAGAGTCACTGGTGCCCAAAAGGCTCCTTGTGAATTAACACCATGTATTACCAAAGGGCTTTCAGTTCAGTTTAAACTTTTTAATTGGCACAGTTCATCACAGCCTGAGGTCCAGCAGGGAGGACAGGTGATTGCACTACTTGATCACAACAAATATGACCGCTGGGGCGCTCTTTACTTTTTGTACACTAACTGTGAAAGACATTTTTATTTTCTCTATTCACAGTTCAAGACAAAGATATAACTTCTGGAACTGAGAAACGGATGGATTACAGAGAGGGAGGTTTTTGAAGAAAACAGCTTTGCTGTGTGTCGACACAGAGACTTACACACACACAGAACACCCTGCCTCTGTATTCTGTACAGGTTGGCACCACTTCATTAGGAACACATGATACAAGGTTTCAGGATTTGAGTTATTCTTGGCATTTTAATTTGACAGGTGCTTAAGCCATTTAGGTCTTGACACAGCTGCACCAACTGTATATTTAAAGTGTGTGTTTTAAAACAGGCCCAGATCAACTTTCCTTAAACAGTAACCCAACATAACACCACAGTTAACAAATGGAAAACAAGATTGTTATTGTGTATAGGGTATTTTAGAGAAAGAGCAACTTGGAAAATAAAGACCTCAGAGTCCATTGTTCCAAGTTAAGAGCATTTTAGTTATTAGCAGTGGTTACCAAATAAGCTGAAGGTAAATCTCTTCAAGGAGCTTCTCGTCCTTTGCTTTATGGAGAGGAGGCGAGGAACCGTGTCACTGTTCCACTATAAGATGGTGCAAGTTTTTTTATCCTTGAAAGGGTTTTCTGAAGTTGGTATCCCTATCAGCAAAGGGTCACTCCTGGCGTGTTCCTCACAGTAGGACATGAGGTCTGCTGATGCTTTCGAAACCTGATGTGGAGGCAAACCAAAGCAAATAAGACAGACTTTATTTCCACACTTGCAGGATGTCTCTGAGTGCTCAGCCACTGAGTGGAAGGTGGGTTTGAACAGGATCCAGAGTCTCAGCATCACTCTGGGGTTACTCGGCAGGTAAAAAGGGAAACCGTATCTTTAAAACAGAGCAATCTGGCAGGCAGGGCCTCGGTACTCGAGTGCGTACCGAGGACACTTGTCAGCTGGCTGGCTTTCCTGCCAAGACGTTTAGCTGGAGTCTGATCAACAAAGGGTCACACAGAAGTGAGGGAGACCCTGCGAAATAAGTGGCCTGAATTCTGTGTGAGGTATTATTGGATAATCCTGAATTGGATGTAACTTTCAAGTGGCTTAAAGAAAAAATTACATGTATGTGTGTACAGAGAGAGAGACAGGATAGCAAGGAAACATATCTTGGTACAGAATATATAAATGTTTGTTACAGCTCTTCTGGAGGTTTGAAATTCTCAGAATTTTAGGGTTGGGGGCCAGGGAGTAAAAAGCCTGTGTGGATCAGAAGGTTGTATCTTACTTTCTATCCAAGAAAAAATAGACTGGAATGCAGAACAGAGTTTATAAACCAAATCATGAGCTTGGAGCCAAAACTCTGGAGCATCAAGAGTTACTGTCCGAGACTTGGGAAGTAGAGAGAGAAACCAGCACACACCTGACTCTAGCGCTAGTGAGAGGGGAAGTACAGGCCCTGTCTGGAGGCCTGGCAGGGAGATGCTGAAGAATCATTAGATCAGTGGCCTAAGGCCAGGAACATGGGGCCTCAGAGCTCGGTCAAGGGCAGCAAGGAGCCTCTGCTTGGAAGACAGGTGACTGTCTCCAGGCACATAGGAATCTACCAAGTGACGCTTCAGTTTCTAGGAAGCAGCAGGAGTCACAACATTCCAGGGTCCTTACTGCCTCCTCCTCTCTTGGGATTTGGGAGGAAAAGACTTCAAAGTGAGGTGACCTAAGAGAAGCATTCTAGTTTCTCTTGGGGATTTCAACAGCAGCTGGCATTGAAGGCCACATTTAAAAAGCTTCAACTTCCTTAAAAGGAGATTTGGACTATGGACTCGTGGTGTGAGGCTGCCTCCGCCGCACTGATAACTCCAGAACTCTCAGACTCTAATTGCAGAAGGATGAGGAGGGTGTTAGTGAAGTCTGCCCAGAACCCGTCCAGTATCAAACCCAAGGACCTCTGGGCTTCGCCATGTTCACTCAGGAAAGGTGGGTCCTGAGGAAATACTGACCAGGGCTTTATAGAAAGGACAGCCCAGGCCCCCTGGCTCCTCAGCTCTTGTGAAATGAGGCCTGAGCTTGCAGGAAACCAAGTTATGATTCTGAGGCCCCCAAGCAGTGTCGGCAGACCCTGGAAAATGAAGCGAATGGCCTTCTCCCCCGACTGTGCCAGCCTTGGAGGGCAGGGGCTGAACGTGAAGCATGTCTGACCCCGGGGGGCCTCCTACCTTGATCCTCTCGATGGAGGCCTCCAGCCTCAGCTGCTGCACGGTCCTCCGCGCCTGGGCCGTGCTGTTGGTGCTCGCAGTTTTGCTGGACATCTTTAGTGGCTGCTTCTACCTGAAATCTGAGGAGACCTTTCTTTAAAAGGCAAAGAACAGTCACCTGTACACTATGTGAACATTCCCAACTGGTGCCAGGTAAGGTAGACAGACACACGGTCCCAGCCATTGTGGCACTAAAATGCCCCTGAGAGGCTGCGTGGAGGCCTCTGTGCAGGAGCTCTTCATGCCTCGAGCACCTACACCAGCCTTTGGTTTGCAGAAACCCAGCACCTGTTTACTCAACGCACCCACCACCCAGCAGGATGGTGGCTTGTTCTCATACCCTTTATGAAGAAACACAAACATCCCCTCCATCACGGGGCTCCAGACCAGAGGCAGCATTTGCCACTGGGGGCCGTGTGATGGGTCAGGTGGTGTCACTGCTACCTACTTTAATCCAAGATCTGACTATTTCTTTTGGGGAAGAATTTTAGGTGCTATCAAGATGTGCAGTCATTCTGGGGACATCAGGTGGGCAGATAGGAAATTCTTTATTCATAAAAAAGTGGGGGCCTTCCAGCTAAGACTGTCAATGGTAGACACACCCACAGTAAATATCAAATGGGAGACAAAAATAGCCCAGAGCCTGACATGACGAACACCACTATTATCCCCCCTCGGACTTCTCCTGGTGGCTGGGCATGGGCTGCTCCCTACCATGTGTATGTCGGTTGACTCTCCTCTCTGTCCCAAGCCCCTGGACTCCAGGCTACCCTGCTGCCCTTTCCCCAGGCCCCTGGCATAAGGAAACAGAAACTTCCTGGCCCTTGTGCTGCAACCTGTCTGGCTGTCCCCGGCACATTTTTTAAGGCAGGAGGGCCTGGGGGGAAGCTGCTTGGTGCCCGGACATATATGGCTAAGTGCACGCTTGGCACGGCGGTGACTGGAGGAAGACACTGGGCGGGCAGCAGCATGGCAGGTTCATGAGTCATGGGAGCAGGTGGACGACAGGCGTGCCTCCTGGCCTGCAGCAGGCCCAGGCCAACTCATCCTCAGAGCTGCAGCAGGCCCAGGCCAACTCATCCTCAGAGCTGCAGCTGCACAGGCCAGACTCGGCTGCAGAAAACAGGAGCAACCACCACTCCACAGTGCAGGAGGCACAGAGGTGCTCTACCATGTTCCTGACTCCGAGGATGTTCCCAAAGGCTGCGTTGGAGGGCTTAGGTAGGGCATGTAGCCTTTGTGGTCAGGGGAAGCTTTGGGTCAGATGTACAAGCACCACTGTGCCTTTAACTGTGTGCAGACCTATGCAATCAGCTGTGTCAGCAAGCTCCGGCATCCTGGTTTTGGACCTGCCTGTGCCACTGACTAGCTGGGTGAAACCAGGTAGGCTACTCTACTCTGTGAGTCCCAGTTCTGTTTATAATGTGAGGGTACGTTACTGTCCTCAGAGATGGGCTCTACGTGGGGCTGGGGAGAGACTCCGCTCACTGGTGGATGTCTAGCATTCAGCACAGGGTCAAGGCCTCCACAAACAGCAGCTGCTATGGTCTCCATCCTGGGGGTGCACACTGCACTGAGAATTGGAAGTAATTCCTTGTTTACCTAATTGTTCCCAACCACCTCCCTCCCCACCGGTCAGTGAGCCTCAGGATTTGGCTGGGCCTGGGTGGGGCACTGGGCACCTGCCCTTCTGGGAGTCCCAAGGCCACCCTGCTGTACTAGTGTCAGGGCACTGACAGTCAGCAGAGAATTCCATCAGAATAGGGAAGCTGGAGGAATGAAGGAAACTGGGAGGATGAAGTGTGTGGCAGGGCACGGTGGCCTGGCCCTGCCTTGTCCCAGGGCTCGGGTGACCTCATTTCAACATACTCTGGGCCTAAGTCCCTCTTCCTGAATCATCCTGCTCCACCCACAGGACAGGTACAGGGTCTGACTCTGCTTACACCCTGCAGCCTGGCACCTTTCAGGGCTCCCAGGTAACAGAGAGTCTGAAACCAGTGAGGTGGCCAGCAGCCTTGCCTGGCCGCGCAGCCTGGGTCCCCAGCAGCTTCTGTTTTGTTCCTCATAGAATATTAAACTGGGATCCCCTTGCCGCTGCCTGGCTCTAACCCAGGAGGAACAAGACACCTTTCCTCTCTAAATGTTCTCTTTGCATGAGAACCACCAAGCACTCCCTCCTGCTCACCCTCCAGGGCATGAGATTTCCCAGGCAGAGCTGGACAGTCCGCTTCTGCCCTGCAGCGTGGCCCTAAGCAAAGCAAACAGTCCACAGTGAGGCTCTGTTTATAAAAAGCTTTGTGCAGACTCCTCTGAAATTGGCCAGAAACCTGGCATTTAGTACTTAGAGAATTCTTATTTTCTGACAATACGGCAGTCAGGATTAAAGACAACTAGCCATTGGCCACTCAAGTGGGCTTCCTGCCACTCCCATCCTGCTGTCTGTGCCCACCTGCCCCTCCAGTGGCCTCCTCCCCTCCTCATGCAGACAGCTCCCTGCTCTCTCCCAGAGGGGAGTCCTGCAGGGCCCAGGCTCTGCAAAGTCCACTCAAATTTTTAACTGGGTGCTACTGATACCAGGCACAGTGTGTTCAGAATAAGTTGGGAGGACAGGTGACAGCTCCCGCCCTCAGGGAGGTGTAGAGTAAGCCCTTGGCTGTGCCCCTCTCCTGCTGCCGCCCTCCTCACGCTCCCAACCCAAGTGTAGTTTCTCTTCCCAAAGTCCTTTCTCTGCTGGTACAAATATGGACAACTCCCTAGCACCTGCCAAAAATTAAAGTTTAAGAGATGGGTAATCGTTACAGCTTCTAAGATTTATTAGAACATAAACAGCTTCCTACTGACCACTGCAGGGGAATACTTTGGTCAATTACATTGGTGTTTGTGGCTGTAGGGGAATAAAAAATGTCTCTTCTATACCTTTGTCCTAGGTTCTTTGGCTGGGATACAAATTAATTTGACATATAAACAGCCTGATGGGAGAAAAGCCACATTTAATTACATATGTACCCATGGAGCGCCACAAAACAGACTCAGAAGGACCAACTGGCTGGACCTCACACAGCATCCTGAGCTATAGAAAGGGCTCAGGGCTTCTGGCAGGTGGCAGAGAAAGGTGTGGGAAGGGGAGGGAAGGAGATGTTTGGTGAATAAAGGTGTTCTCATCAGGCACAGAAAAAGTCTTGGGTAGTAACTGCATCTGCCTTCAGCTGAAGAGGTGATAGTCTGGGTTTGGTGTCACCTCTAGTCTCCTCTCCTGGGATTCCAATTAATCTTCCCTGGTTGATAAGAGTCCTGGGGAGGACTCATGACAATCAGGCACTTCTCGGGGGATCATCTGTGGGCAGATAGGGGAGCTCAGAGAAAGCCTCCAGCCTGCGCAGTGTTCCCCAGAAGCCCCCTCGGCAGAAAGCCCTCAGCAGACCAAAGCATCATCCTATTGTAGGGTGACGCTTCCTCAATTCCTTTGATTATCACAGGAAAAGCTGCGCTCTGGGCTCCTGGGGAAGGATATAATCTGATTATACCTTTACTCCTATGGAGAAACCAGGTCACGTTGAGAAGCCTCTTCAAGGAGCGGGTCTGCAGAGAGGCACAGCCTGAGCTAGGAGGCCCCACCACCTTTAGGGAGCTGAGCTGTGCCCACACTTCCTCCCCACCTGCAGCTGCCCACAGCTCCCTCCACAGCTGGATGGGGCAGAACAGAGCTGAGCAGAGAAACAAGCCTCCCCCAACACCCCTGCACCTTGGGAAGGTTTTCTCCGGTATTTCCTCGGTGACCAGGATGTCTGCCTGGCTGTGTGTTTGTGTTGCCGGGTGGATAAACAGCCTGCTTTATTCATACACCAAACACAGCCGCTGCCAAGGCAGGAGCCGCCTGACGTGTGTAGAAGCCTGGGCTGCTTTCACGTGCACCGTTTCGTGAAGCCTCACCTGAAAGGTGCATCACTCCTGTCCTTGTGTCACACACGAGGCAGCTGAAGTGAGAAAACTGCTTCAAGTTAACCCAGCTCTGAAGCCTCTCTCATTCCAGAAGCCTCCCTCTCCACTGCACCAAGGAAAAGGCGGTTCTAATTAACCTGGTTTACACACACTCAGGGCGCCTCTGGCACCTCACAATGTGCTGCTCAATGCAGAGGGACCTGGACGCTCAGTGACCTGGAGGTGGCACTTGCTGATGACCCATGTGTGCAACCCCCTTCCGACGGGAAGGCTCCTTTCTCTAGTGCTTGGGGGAAGACCTCCCCTATCTAGTATACAAGATAAGCAGGAATGCTCTCCGGCCCCTCCCTGAAGTCAGCATCTGGAAAGCCGGGGCCACAGTGCCCCTGGCCCAGAGGGGCTGAGGCCTGCACATGCCTGGGCAGACAGGGGTCCGATAACACCCTGCTAACCCTTCTTCAGCCATGCGTCCATTTTCACATCTGGGCAGCAGATTTGAAGAAACATGCAGTACTCAGCTCTTCAAATACTTTGCATCGGTTTTAATGATGTGGTTCATCTGAATTCTCAGGTTCCCAGAAATTCCCAGGAACAAGACGTCCCATTAGGGAAATAAGGGCATTTTAACCTTTGTGGAGAGAGGCCTGAAGCTGGGAGAGGCAGGCGGGGATGTTTGAGTGTCACAGCACTCGCTGGGAGGAAGGCACCGGGAAGCCCCAGGGCCTGAAACACAAGTCATCGTGGCCTGGTCCATAATTGAATTGCTGGAGTGAAGCCAGCTTCGTGAGCAGACACACGCTCTTGTGGCAGGAAGAGGGAGCAGATAAAAAAGCAGCCATAGGCTCGCACTTCTCTTGATCTCAGCTTCAAGTACCTTATTCTAACTTATCCGCCTGTTCTTCTGTAAAAGGGAGACAGCAACACGGATTTCACGTGGTCTAGAGGGAACGCATGCAGGGAGCACAGAATCAGGTTCTAAGAAACAGTTTCTGTTCTCACGAACACTTATTTATATCAGAACCCACAGGCGAAACCCAGGTGATAGAAGTGTTTTTTGGGCCCCACACTTGATGGTGTTTTAAGTTGATTTGTCAACATTTGGAAAATGGAGGGATTTCACTTGAAAAGTAAGATTTCTGGG